CTATTAAATGTTAGAGAGAGAAAATGCATTTTTAAATTATATATATTTAATAGGTGTAAAGTTGAGAAATTATTATATTTTTAGACATAATTAATGAATTTTAAAATTTTTCTTAGTTATGGTAACATATGTTAAAAGTACCTCATAAATAAAATTAAAGTAGTAAAAAAAATTGTAATAACTCTATCTTCCAAATTACTTTCAAGTTATAACTAAATGTTGATTTGTTAATTTCCGAATGACAATTATTATTTTGAAAATTTTACTTGTTAAGCTGACATAACTAATTACAAATTAAGAGGCTTAAAATTCATGTATTTATCAAGTTCTCATTTGTAAATTAGCATTTAAATCTCATTAAAATAACATGTTCATACAGGGGATAAATTGAATTTCCAAACCAATTCTAAGTTGTAATTGAATGTTGACATGTTAATTATATTCTTGAATAGTACTTGTTATTTTGAGAACTTTTTTTTTGTTAATTTGACATAGTTAATTAAGAATTAAAAGGTTTAAAAATTCATGAATTTATCATGTTCTCATTTGTAAATTGGCATTTAAATCTCATTAAAATAGCATATTCATATGTGTAGTAAATTTAATTTTCAAACTACTTGTTTTTTATAGCATAATAGTGACTTTTTAATTCCTAGATGACAATTGTTATTTTGAGAACTTTACTTGTTAATATAACATAGTAAATTACAAACTAATAGGTTTAAAAATTTATATATTTTTCATGTTCTCATTAGTAAATTAACATTTAAATATTATTAAAATAACATGTTCATATACGTAATGAATTTAGTTTTGAAATCACTTGTTTATTATAACAGAACGTTGACTTGTTAATTCCTTAATAGTCTATGTTATTTTGCTAAGTTTACTTGTTAACAAATTTTTACACCTCTTAATTTGTAATTGGTTATGTCAGATTAACAAATAAAGCTAGCGAAAAAATAAATCACATTCAAAAATTTACAGGCCACTATTATGCTATAACAAACTAGTTTGGAAACTAAATATATTATTTATATGAACATCTTATTTTAATGAAGTTTAAATATCAATTTACAAATGAGAACTTGATAAATATATAAATTTTTAAACCTCTCAATTTGTAATTAACTATATGAGATTAACAAAAAAAGTTTTTAAAATAACAAGTGCCATTTAAAAATTAAAAATTAACATTTAGTTATAAATTGGAATTAGCTTGGACGCTTGGGTTATTACATATATTTTTTTTTTGCTTGTTATGATTGAAATGGTTCAGGGAGAATGACAGTTAGGTCTCAAAGGAGTAAATTAATGATAGTTAGGCTCCTAACAAATTTTTTTACAAAATGAATGAATTGTAAATATCAATTCAAACAGTTACAAACAAAAATTTATATTATAATCTAAGAGTTATATTTAATATTTAAATATTTATCTGTAATTGAAACTCTTGGATTTGCATTTATTTAGATTGATATTTTCTACTTATCTTTCAAAATGTCTTGTGGAGGACTTAACTATTATTAATTTAATGTTTTAGTACTTAACTGTCATTCTCATAATGGGTTAATGGCGTGGTGGCTATAATCATTTTAGGTGGTCATCAAAGGATCATGGATTCAAAACCTCTCTTGACAACCTCTATTAATTGATAAATTAATTCACAGGCCACCAATATTGGAGCTTCAATGACTAGCCATTGGTGAGATCGTCAGAGCTCCAGCAGTTATGAACTATGGGTTTATTATTATTTTTTAAAAGGAAATTTCATTATTTTATGCCCAAACTTATTTATATTTTAGTCTTTTGGTTTTATATTGTAAAATCAGAATTCTTTGGTTCTCTAGTATGATTTTCCTGATATATTATGTATTTGGCTATTGATTATCTTTACATAATATGGAAATGCCCGAAACTAATATTTTAATTAAGTTAATAAAATATTTAATTATTAATTATTAAATTATTATTTTGACCAATCCAATAATTGATCCAGTTTTCAGCACCTAAAATTTTGGTGGATTTGATTATTTCGTGTTCCCACTGTCACGAGAGAGTCGTGGGATGAATTACGTATGCACTTTTGAATTTAGGATTAGTTAGTTTTGCTCTAACAAATTAACAGTGAGTCGTGATATAATGCGACGACGCATATAGCTTTTCAAACCTGTTAATTGATGTATTTTAATTTTTTTTGCCAGCGTATTTTTAATCATTAATATTATGAATTCAATAGATTTAATATAAAATGTAAAGTTCATAACAACTCATGGACTATATGGTTGATCATTCATTATGATTCATACAATATGTGACCGAGAGTCATGTATAGTTCAGTCCAATAATAAATTAAACTAAAGAAAGGTGTGCGACACATTCTATAAAATAAACCTTACCGTTATATAGCTTGCGTCAACATATCCCAGAGATTAAGACCGTGTAATTTTCTTTATCATGAAATTCCCAAAGTTTATAAAGAAAATGACAATAAAATCTTTTTAAAATGTATAGATGATAATTTAGTCTCTTGAAATGTAATAATTCCTCTGAAGTTTTTAAGAATTTTTTGTCATTAATGAATTTATATAAATTATTAAAGTATCCTTGTTGAAAATAAATAAAAAGTTTTACTTAAATATTCACAACTTTTTTTCTTATATTCATAACAATGCAATAGCAAATCAAAACTTTGCATGTTAATTCATTATTTGCTGTTGTGTTGTTGCAAATATAAGAAAAAAATTGTAAATATTTAAACGAAATTTGTAAATCATTTATTTTTAATAAGGGCAATTTAACAATTTATATAAATTTATTAATGATAAAAAAATTTCTTAAAAATTCAAAAAAATTATAACATTTTGAGTGACAAAATTGTCATTTATATATTTTAGATAAATTTTATTTTCATTTTTCTAAGTTTAGATTCTGTTTATTTTGTATTGTACTCTTCCAATTCTTTTTATAAGTCATTTTTACTAACCTCATCAATATTAATAAAAAAACACAAAGAATAAAAGTGTGTACAATTCTAAATATATTCATATATAATAAATAAAAAGTGATTTTATATTATTTTTTCTCTCTTATAAAGAATAATTTTAAAAATATTTTTTAACTATTAACTAAAAATATCTATCATGATTTATAAATAAAATTAATAGACCTTTTAAATGAGTATATTTTAAAAATTGAGAGAGAGAGAGAGAGAGAGAGAGAGAGAGAGAGATGTAGATCAGAGTTGAGAGTCAAACTGGAAAATCCCTGATAGTTGTGTGATGTAGATCAGAGTTGAGAGTCAAATTGGTTGTTGGCAGGCCCACCAAATACGGGAGGTAGACACAGTCCTGTTTCCTTCTCCACTATCCATGTTATCCCGGAAGATGAAGCAGAATTTCAACAAAGACGAAATTTTAGTGTGTATTTAATTTTTAATTTATTAAAGATTTAATTAGTAAAAATTTATTGACAAAAGCCAATTTAATAAAATTTAATTGTTGTAATGAAATTTATATTTAAATATATTTTTTAAAAATCAGTTTGATCTATTAAAAATTATTTAAATTATGACAATAAAACATACTTTTAAATGTATAATTATAAAAAAGAAATTAATTTATGATAATTTATAGCAGCAGGACAACAAGCAAGATGAAGGAGCAAGGCAACACGCGACCACCACCCACACACTTGTCTTCCCAGAATTATAAAATGACTCTGAATGAATCTCAACAGCTACTTTGAAGAGAGACAACGGAAAGCAAGTCTGCAATAAGCTGCCATTTTTGAGACCTTGTGAGCTATTTGTTTTTGCTTCCATCCATGTCGTTCATTCAGATTATTCCTTCTCTTCTCCCATCCGCATGCTTCATCCATCTACTGTTTTTCTGTAGGTATTTTCCCAGAATTTTCACTCTTCCTTTTCCACAACAAGCTAAGTAAATCTGCAACAGATTTGCTATTTTCTTTTCCTAGTTACCTCATGTCGTAGATTTGCTAAAGCTAACACCTTTGAGATTTTTATTACTGTAACTTCTGCAAAACAAGGTCACAAAACCTTTAACTATGCCTGGTTGGACTTAATCTATTGACTAGCTAAAGCCTTCATTTATATTATTCATTTTTTATGAAGTAAACGATATATTTATTTTATTTTATTTATAATTCTAAAAGCCAAGTTTTTCTTCTTTCTTTTATCTTAATCAATAGTACTCCATGCTTCGTGGTCATGCGTGAAACATGCATTATTATAGCAATTTGGTTGTATATTGTGATTTCATCTTCATTATTTCATTTAATATTACATTTGATCTTTTAATTTTATATAAGTTTTTAATTTAGTCTCTTAATTTTATAGAATATTTTTTTGAGTTTTTTAACCTTAATATTATTAATTTTAATTGATTATTTTTTATGCCAGTCATAATTTTTTTTAAAAATTAAACTTTATATATCGATATTTGATAATGTTTTATCAATATTTAAAAGTTTAATATAATTTTTTTGTAATGAAATTAATAATATTAGAATTAAAGAACCCAAAAAATACTTAATAAAATTAATGAACTAAAATGAAACATTAAATAAAGTTAAAGTACTAATTAAAGATATATTTTAGCCATACTACAAATTATATTTCTGCTGGATTAGAGGTTGTTTGACAGTTGCTTTGAATTTTAAAAGCTTGAGGGGTCAATTCTTTCATTCTTGAACAAATTGCATAGCGTGCAGTGTAAAATAAAATTTAATATACAGTTGATAAAAATATTTGTACACCTTGAATATAGAAAATAATGAAAAATAATTAATTTACATTAACAAATTAGTATTGGTAAGACTCCTCATATGCAATAAAATACGACCGAATATGAGATAATTGCTAATGATCTAAACTAATTAATTCTAATTATATAGCTTAAATCTAAATTTAAAATACTCTGTTTGGATTTAGGATTTCCAAAGCTAAAGTTTCAGGCTGAAGAAAGAAATTGATACGCATGATTGCAGCAATTGCTTCGATGCCATTGGCTACAGCAATTTACAAAGCTCTCAGAATCTCTCCTCCGTAATCAACCTTCTAAATAACCCAATTCTCACTATTTCTTTTCTTTGATTTGCTCATAACTCAATATTTGTTGATGATTTCTTTCTATCTGAAGTTGTAAAGATGATGTTGATTCAACTTCCACAACTTCTTCTTCTCATGTTGACATTGCTCCTCCTGCAACCAAGTATGATATATTCCTTAGCTTTAGAGAAGACATTCGCGGCAATTTCACTAGTCATCTTTATGAAGCACTTTGCAGAGCTAACATTCGAACTTTTATGGATTACAAGCTCCACAAAGGAGATAATATCTTGCCAATTCTTTTGAGAACAATTGAGGAATTAGAGATCTCTCCGATTATTTTCTCTCAGGATTATGCTTCTTCAACATGGTGTATGGAAGAACTCATTTGCATCATGGAATGCAACCATAAATATAGAAGGATTGCCATTCCTATTTTCTACAATGTAGATCCATCAAATATTCATAAACAAAATGGGAGTTTTGGAGATGGATTTGCTAAGCTAAAGCAAAGGTTTAAACATAGTCAAGAAAAAGGTGACAAAGTGGATAAATGCTTTGATCCAATCAACAAGTCTCTCTGGATGGGATTCCAAAAGTGTTAGTTCGCTTTTGACCATTCTTTTATAATTTCTTTCTTCAAATTTTGAATATAATTTTTCTTTTTTCTTTTATATTTGTGCTAGGTGTGAATCCAAACTTGTTAAAAAGATTGTTGAAGATGTTTAGAGCAAATTGAATCAAAAGTCATCCTTTCATGGTATTGATGATCAGATAAGGAAATTGAAGAGTTACCACATAAGTTTTGCATTGTGGGAAATGGGGTATGGGTGATATTGACAAGACCAATCTTGCCAAAGTTGTGTTCCACAATTTGAAAGCATAGTTTGAAGCTTTTTGCTTTGTTGAAAATGTCAAAGAACAACTAGCAAGAATTGGATTGGACAAATTACAAGAAAAATGCCTTAAAGAATTACTAAAAGATGATGATATCAACATTTGCAATATGAAATCAAGTTTTGTGAAAAGTAGGCTCCACCAGAAAAAAATAATTTTGATACTTGATGATGTGGACAACTTCATTGCAGTTGGAGATTTGATTAAAGTATGTGATTGGTTTGGAGAAGGAAGTAGAATTATGATCACATCAAGAGATGAGCAAGTGCTTAAGAATGCTTGTGCAACAACATACCCAGTTTCAAAATTAGATTCCCAAAATGCCCTTAATCTCTTTAGTTTGAAAGCTTTCAAGCAAAATGAGTCATGTGGAAGCCATAGCCATTTGGAGTTAGTAAAGTGTGTAGTGAATTGTTGTGAAGGAAATCCCTTAGCCCTAATAGTGCTGGGTTGTTTTCTTCATGGTAGAGGAAAACAAGAGTGGGAAAGTGCTTTGGGAAGACTAAATCAAACTCCTCACAATGACATCTTTAATGTGATGAAATTGAGTTTTGATGGACTTGATGAGGAACAGAAAGAAGTATTTCTTGACTTAAGCATTTTTTTAAAATGAAGCAAAGAGAATTTCTCTATATTGGACAAGATGCTTATATGGCTCTTCTGCACCAATTTTCTTGAGTGTTCTCAAAGAAAGATCCTTCATTTTAGTGGATAAAGATAGTTATACTAAAATGCATGATCCTTTAATAGAAATGGGACTTGAAATTTCAAGACAACAATTGAAATCAAACCTTGAAAAACTTGCTCGACTTTGAAGGCTAGAGGATATTTTTCTTTTTTTCAACAATAACAGGGTAACAATTTATTCTTTTATCATATTTTCTTTATGCTCATAATTTTTTTAATTTCCTTGTCATATGTATGTCTGTGCCTAAAAATTATTTATTAAAATCTTTGGCAAGTCTCAATATTTTATCTTCAAATCCTTCAATTTTGGATGTCTTAAATTTTTTTAATTAAATTGTTCATAAAAGTAATCATTTATTGATATAAATGACTAAAATTGTTTGTGATAGAGTCTTTGCACGTTAAGTGTAATTTATTCATCATCTTAGGCTTTGAAATAGATTATATAAACAAAACAATTAAAACGACTGATTAAGATCATATTTTTTATACTAAAATATATTTTTTGTAGGCGTATGATTTTCATTGAGTTATAAAATTGTCCATAAAGGTCAATTTTTATTTTAGTGAAGAAAAAAAGCATATTAATTTACATTTTTGAAAAAGAAATATACTCAATCAATTATTCTACTGGTTATTCAATTACTTGTTTCATGTTAACCATTTTCCCCCACATGATTTGCTCACTAGGGTCCTGATGCAATTCTATTCTCATCATTGGACAAGAGTGAGATAAAAATGATTATGTTTTCATGTCTTCTGCTTTGCCTTTGTGCTTTGACTATTTGGTGGCATTTTTTTTATTTTTTTACATAATTATACTTGTGTGTTTTTCTCTTGTCAATTTTCTCAAAAGGGGGCGGAGGCAATTTGATGCTTGTCGGTGGACATGAGCAAGATAAAAGAGAACATTGAGGTCTGTTAAATTCCAAAAGATGGAAAACATAATATACCTTAGGTCACGTTTGGTTAATAGAATGAAATGGATTGAAAAAATCAAGATAAAAATAAATTAAATCACCCTTCCTTTATTGTAAACATGATAAAACTCATTAATATATATTACAAAATATGAGAATTATCACACCTTTTAAAAATTTTATAAATTATTATTTCAAACTTCAAGAACTAAATTACCCTTTCTCCTTATGAATGTGCTCACTTATCTCTTTGATCATCTTATTTTTATCTTTATTTTTTCAATCCATTTCATTCCATTCTAATAAGTAAACAGGACCTTAATATTTACATGTCTGATTGGAGGAAGCCTTTAGAGATAATCAATATTGGGGAAGACGTGGATTATCTTCTAGAGGGACTAAGGTTTCTTAGTTGGGAAAACTGTCCTTTATCATATGTGCCATTAAACTTGTGTGCACAGAACCTTGTTGAATTCCGAATGCGTGATAGTCATATTAGCCAACTTTGGAATGGGAATGTGGTATGCATCATTTTTCTTATGTCTAAAGATAATTTTTCCCCTATATATGTGATTTTGATGAGCAACTCTTTGGGTTTTAACCTTTAGATATTGCCCAAGTAAAAAGGTGACCAAATAATTCTAAATTGCACATGTTTGTTTCACTATGTTTACAATTTAAGGGGCATCGTTCTTGTTTGGTGCTCAGCTAGATGTGTTGTTCAAGCCAGCCTTACTTGAGTATTAGGGCCAAGTTGGGCCCAACATGAAAAGAATTTTTAAATTTTTTTGGAAAGTATAAAAATATTTATCTTTGAATAAAAAATAGATATCACCACGCAATGATGGCAAAATAATCCCAAATCCACATGTTTGCTTCACGATGTTTACATGAATGGTTAAATTGTAGTTGCAGCAAATGAAAGAAAGCATGGATTTTTTTTGTCTGCATTAACCAACCAATTCAAACTTCACTGACTATTTTTGCCTTAAATCCAGTTCATGTTCTAAATGCATTGATCTAGTTCCTTCATAATGTTTTGTTTTTATTATCGTGATAGGAATTCATGATGAAATTTAAACACGTATGTATTTTGCAGCATTTTCCAAATTTAAAAGTGACTAATGTATGCTTCTCAAAATGTCTCACAGCTCTTCCAAAGCTATCTTAAGCCCCAAATATTAAATGGTTATATGCTGATGGCTGTGTAAGATTAGATCAAATTTAGTTTTCAACTATCCTGTGCAAGCTTAGTCATTTAGAATTATCTATTAGCAGGCAAAAACAATTAAGCATGGGTCATACTATTAAAGGAAGAAGTACACGTTTGGTGAGTGTCATTAATTCTTTGGATCTTCGCGAGTTGTCATTCAAGAAAGTGAGGATGAAGGTGTTGGCATGTGAGGAGGGTAGAATCATCTGTGGCGCTAAACACAAGCATATGGAAATGCGATTGGATTATAGAGAAAGGGAAGATCTAAAAATGGAAGCACAGAGGTTGGCATGTTTACTTCCATTTGTTAAGAAAGTTGAATGGTCAGAAGGTCCAATTAAGCTTGGGAATTTCAATCATCATTATACCTCTCATTTCTATTTCAAATGTGAGTGGCCTTTCGGTTTTTCAGTTGAAGTGAAGGTGAGGAGACATCAAGAAGAAAGGGTAGAGATGGAGTCATTGATAAGACAAGTGGTTAATCATAATTATAATCATACTCTGAAAAGTTCCTCATCATTTTTAGGAACATTTTATCATATGAACTCTCCAATAAAGGCACTCCCACAAGTATTTTTTTGTAGTAGTGCACAAACAAGTAAAATTGGCGTGCCACTAATGAAACTTCCCAATTACGTCACTCGTTGGTCACTATTAACAGCATTAAGATTAAAGAAGAGTGAAGTCATTGAAAATGTAAAAGGTTGCTGCATTCCTCAAGTTTCAATATTGAGATCACTTGCACTCTCTCAATCTTATAAAAGGACTCAACCAGCTTGCTTGGATCTATCACTCTCTCTTGACAATTGTCCTTGTTCCTTTTACCTCCCTTATTTGATGACCTCAATTGAAGGTACGTCTTTAAAATCGTACTGCTTGTTTTTCCAATATGGGGTTGATCATATTCATTTTAATACTGTTACATTTGACTAGCTTTTTTTGTTTCATGTGTAATCATTCATGGAATCACATCACATTTATTATAAAAGTATGATTCCTAATGTTGCTTTCCAGTGACGACTCTCTTATGTGTTATTCTATGAATGTGTCTATAACTTGTTTATAGAGTACTAGAGAAATAATCTCCTCTTTATTGCCAGTCAATTTTCTATTGAAAGTAGCTTGAATTTTTAATATTTGCCATATTTAGACCATTCTATGACTTATCTAAAAGCAGTCGTGTGGCTTGATTTAAACAAAATTATTTTATTGATTTAAATTGTCAAAAAAATGACTAAATAAATAAATTAGTTTACTTGATAACAAACTTATTAAGAATAAATGAAATCTTTTGTATGATGCAATTAGTTTACTTCACCCAGTGAAAAAAATGTTTACAATAACACTTGATGTATTGATATTGATAAATCTTTTGTATGATAAATCTTTTGTCCTTACTATGACTATCTCCCTCTAATCTTAAATGCCTAGAGTATTTACTGTCCTCACTACCTTCACTAGTGTTATCTTCACTAGTTGACTCATTTTCGAGTGCCTCCTCTTTACCTCTACTAATCGGTCACATGATTTTGTCCAACACTTCTCTTTAGATTCTCTATGTCAGCAAAATACTTTACATTTCTATTCGTCTTCTCTAACTATTTCTCATGCTTCTTATACCAATTCAAGTAAGCTTCAGCCATTTCATCATCAAATGTATCCTTTCAAGCAAATTGAGAAGCATCAATTTCCTCAATCTCATCTCCCCCTTTGTTGACTCCCTTTTATTCATCTTCCCCCTCAACATCTGAGCTATCAAATTCTCTTTCAAACTCACGATCCTCATCAGAGATTTGCTCGACACTCCCATCACTTCCTAATCCCTTTCCTTGACCTGAATTAGCTAACTTTACACCTTTCTCTAATTTTAAGTCCTCACACGCAAATC